TATTTGATGGTACTTCGACTATTCTCAACTTACATTACGAACTGCTCTTCTTAACGAAAGTCTATCTCAATTTTCCATTTTTTACTGATTTAATAAAAGATTCCAATATGCTTTGCTTTTTATAAAGTGTAAAAATAATACGCTCAAAGCAGCAATAAAGAAAGAATAATGTTTTTCGCGGTGTAAAAAAGGCAAAAAAGTTCACGATCGATAAAACAAATTACACATTAATACATATACAATATATTTAGATATTAGTTTAGGACTAATTCAGGGACTGTCAACATCAACTTTATCTAAGATCTTTTCAATCTATATACGCTTACAAGGTTTCGCATGAAAACTTAACATTCTAAATGATAACAGGTAGATTCAGTTAATATCGAACCCTACGAAACTCTCATCAACATAGGCCTACCAAGCTTCATCCAAATCGGATAATAGCTTTTGTGTTGCTTGTAAGCTGATTATGAAGCCTATTCTCCTAAAACAAACGGAAAGGGGAGACGATAATAAACGTCTGATTCTTCAAGTATAAAAATCATTCGAAAAAAAATAGTTCGAAACGAGTTTTAACCGGAAACCTCATTTGCCTTTAAAATAGGTAGCAAAACCATATATAATATAGGCTTTATTTAAAACATTGTCGTTTTTATGTGCCTACATGAAATGTGGAGAGTATTTTGTCATCAACCATGTCCGTCGGCCCGTCAGTCTAGGGTAGTCACAATCCTTGCCGGATTTTGTCAAATGGTATATTTTCACCCAAGGGTGACTCCTATTAAAAACCAATTGAAAACTGAGTTTTTGCCCTTGTTCCTTGAAACACGTAGCACGTAAACACACCAGAAGGCGCAATTATGGATGGATTTGGACGAAAAATTGAACTATATGACAGTATACTTTATGCACGTGATGATTGCCCTTCTGCTTGCCAATCATGCAAAGACATACTGTGAGAAATGTACAAAGTTATAAGTGATTGATAGTAATTCTCTTCATATGACGTCCGTATCTAGTTTACTATGATGGATTTACACGTTGAGTAAAGTCAACAATATCCGCCATTAACCAGGGTTACCAGATATATTATCGCGACCAATTGATCCCTTACGACCAGTGTGCGGTCCAGTTTGTTTCATTTACTGCCCGAATGGAAATGTTCTTGACCGTCGTGAATGCCCTACATGCCGGTGTAGACGTAAGTAAATTTTAACGATAGATCCAGTTTTAGGTAGAGGACACTGAAATTGTAATAAAATGACACTTTATCTCAAATGAGACCAAACTATCGCCCCGTTTTATTAGCCACATAACTGAAGTGGCTATATTAAAAATTAAAGCTGAACGAAATTTTGGTCTAATTTTAATAAGACTGGTTACCTGATTCGTTCGTCCTTACTTCTTGTTGCTGAACAGTTTGTCCAGCATATAATATTCTAAACTAAAATTTTATACGAGAATCATCTCGTAACAGGGATAAGAAAAGTCTCACTAGATGCTAAGATGGAAATATACACATTTTAAAACACGAACAGAATCATTTTCATTGAACCTGCTGCTAGAAATGCTTAATTGTATAGTCACGGAAAACATGGAAACGGAAAAATATTTTACTTTTGGAGATTTCAAACCGGTAAAATATTTTCCTGTTGGAGGTTTTTGGAGCTATATTTCATCAAGTACAATATCGAACAAATTATATGATAAATTATTATAAGAATGTTATAAAACTTTGCGTTATCTCGCCTCTTAAAATATTTTTCAGCAGAAAGAATTTGTAATCGAAAATATTTATCTAGATCTTGTCGATCATGTCGATATGGCAGAACATATTATACTGACAGAAACGGATGTCGACGATGTAAATGTAAATCCAGAATAAGTAAGTTTTTCAATCCTTCAACATGGTTTCTTGGCGGGGTTTTCTCTTTCACCATTTTCCCGTCTAATTTGATGCTACCAAATCCTCAGACTTGAAATATGAATGATATATCGGCAAGTTTAGGACCAGACATAAATTGTCACCTTTCATTGAAGTTTCTCCGATCCATTTTTGGATCGCTAGTTTTTGAGAATTACCCCGACAAAACGTACATGGTATCTATACAATGCTGACGAATTAATGAGCCCATCAAGACCCTGTCGGATATTCTACAATGTACCTGTTCCACACATGATACAACAATACAATCGAGGTGAAGGCTTAATTTAAAGAGTCGTACGAAGAAGGTAGAGCCTACCCTATCTGTACTGTGGTACCATGTGGAGCACAGGGATATACATAATTTAGGTAAATATCCTAATCGTATATCACGTCCGAGGAAAGGGTAGGGTCAGATTTGTCTGGCTTTATTGCCATGTGACCGTAAGCAACTTTATAAACCACTCAAAGTAGTTTCGGTCTGAAATCGGAACGACTTTCTACTTCTGCATATTAATAATAAAAATATCAATTCGATTTCGGTAACAGTATCTTCAATTCAATAGTTAATGTAATAATCTCTTTCATATTGGTCCCGATTAGACCACTTCAACAATCACAACACTATTATCAGTATGAAAAAAAAAACAATATTAAAAAGACCTGTTTTATCTTTAGGTCCAATTTGCAGAAAAATAGACCGAGAGCTCTGTACACGCAAGCTCTGTCGCAACGGTTTTAGAAAGGATTCAAGAGGATGTCCCACATGTGAATGTAACATCAGACAAAGTAAGTCAAATCAAATGATATTCGTTTTTGGGTTTAACAACCCGATTTAGGTTTTTCAATACATGTATAACAAAAAGTTTTAGTAGTCCAAATAGTATAGTCGGCAGCGAATTTTCGTTTGCTAAACGATTTTATGCCGTCTGTTCGAATTCTCTTCATAGTGAGAACAATTCTGATGCCTTTGCCAGTGCTTCCGAGAGTCGGTACGGTATCGGCTCCCCAACCCCCTAATAAAAATGTTACGATATTGGAAATTTGGTCGTGCTTTCACAAGACACGAGTTTATCTTGAATCTTTCTTAAAGGATCATGCAGATATAATGGTCGAACCTACCCACATGGAACTAGTTTCATGAAAAGATGTAACCGATGCTTCTGTAGGAATGGACGGGCAGGCTGTACAAAAAAAGCTTGTCGAGGTAAAGATTTTTTTTTACATTGAAAATAGTTATCTCCCTTTTTGAATCAAAATTGTTCATAATGAATATTACCTTGATAAGTGAGTGGTATGACAGGTTGACGACACTCTTCGACGGAGTTGTGAACTTAACATCCCGTTTGGATGGTCCGCAAAGCCAAAGTTGCTTGTTTGTCATATATTTACTCTTCCTTTGGAATTTTTACAATTTGTATGCTTTTGTCTCAACCATTTAATCTCGTTGGCCGAAGTTGATAAACGAATCTAAATTTATCTAATCTTACTTAATATCGTTATTGTTGTTTTGAACACGATGTACATGTATTACATTCGGTTAGACAAAATACAAAACCTGAGGTAAACGTGGAAATGCCAAGTTTATCTTGCGACGCACAAACTGTTCAATCCAGACATCCGTCACCGAGGAAAGGGCCAGTATAATAATTGTTAGGACATTTAATACCACAATTTGTCTCGTTTTACAGTAAGAAGACGCATCTCTGACGACTGAAGAATCTTGAAATGGCATAAAGATCATCTGTGATGTTTTATTTGACTGGCGTTCGTCTAAGATTGTGACAACATCGATCAGGAAATTATGTAAATTGGACCTCGCGAGGAGTTTCTTAGATAAATAAAGTAAATGTAAACCAGGACTTGTTCCGAAAAGTTATGAAATGTTATCGTTAAAATATATTTTTGTAAAGTTTTATATAAATTTTGAATTTAAGAATTTTTTTTCATCTGAAGAAAGGTGGTTGATCTTCTAAATTTGAGATACAGACCTAACCACCGTCAATACACATAACTGGTACTTGTACAGTATCATACTCTCTGTTACACCATAGCCCCACTAATCACCTCTAGAAATTGTGTAACATCGTCTAATTTCCCACTAGAAATTATGAAATTATATTTCAATAAAACAATTATAGAACAAACACAGCGAAATAATTGTAGGTTTTTTTACATGATAATACACAATGATTTTACGTCTTACTTTGTCTAGACAAAGTACATGTTCAATTCCATTAATTACAAAAAAGCACTCAAACCGCCCTGTTCAGCCATTGGGTCATCTTTTGATATGTATTAGAATTTGCAGGTTGTTAGTGGTACTTAGTAATTGTTAGAAGCATACACAAATTACTTTCGATTATGTTCAAAAGATTACATCTTGTTAAGTTAGTATTTTATAAAATGAATAAAATGGAGATAACAAGAGAGCACATAGTTTTACAATCGCATATTATCCAATTATAATCAATATAGATCAAAACATTTTAAAGCATTTTAATTTCATTACATCGTCATGGTTCTACAAATATCACAACCGAATCGTCCACTTTAATTCACAACCAAGTTCAAATTCGTGTTCACAACCATCTAATGTTCGTCTGGTTACGAGTACTCCAACAGTAACACTATATTGTATACATAACTTTAACCCTGTGCCAGTGCCTTATATTGAATAGTAACTGGTTACTCTTCAATCACACTAATCACTATATTCAAAGGAATGGTTTTACAAGTTGATATTTGATGGTAAATGGTAATATTATGTTTCAGAATCCAGGTTAGGAATATTTTATGTGACTGCTTTAGAACTGAAAATTGACATATTGAAATCAATAAACATGATTCGGTCAAAGATCAGTCAGTAAGGAATATCATTTGGAAAAAATTTGTTATTCAAAGATAAAAGATCGCAACTGTAGTTCGGAGCTAAACTTTAATTGAAAGAATTTGGGTTCATAGGTTGAAGACAATCCCGCCCATCAACAAAGCCATCGATCTACTGGTGTAAAACATGTTTTTTTTATCATTAATTTCTGTATCACACAGCAGACAGTGTTGAAACGTCCTCCAACTACAGATTAGCATATGGTCTTGTATCGTCAAGATCTGTTGTAGTTTGGCCTGCTCTGAGGTTGTAATAGCGTGCTGCATCACTAGCTTGTGGTGTTACTGTATTATGTACTGTATTTAACTCCTGGTAGGTTTGACCATCAGCTAATAAATCAAAGATTTCAATGTATAACATATAAACAGCAGTAAGGAGTAAGATTTAATAAAGAACACAATAACACTATGATTACTTTATTTCTTTAAGAATAAAGCGGTGAGCATTTAACACAATACAATTCGTCAGATAAGATGATAATACATCATCAGTAATAAGAACAAACAATTTACTGAAATAACGTAATTTACTACACGAGTTTCGATATTAACGATATCTTACTGTGTGCTATGGTGCCCTGGTGAGCTATTCAAATCAAAATTTAAAGAGTTTGGAAATCTTTGTTTCGAAGTTACGATGTCGCCGATTATTCCTTTAAATATAATATTGGACCTTGGTATTTTTTTTATTGAATATTAATTTATTAACTATTATAACTATTAGTTATTAATGAGGGAGTTTGGCCAATATACATATACCTGCTTAAATAGCTGTATAGTAGTCTAAAAGGAAGTTTGTAATCTTTCTTATTTATTGTAGCTGTGTTTACTTCCCATAGTTGTTGATCTTGTCTACTTACCGTAGTTGTTAAAATAGTTTACTTCCCTAGTTGCGGGTCATGCTTACTTACCAAATTGAGGGTCTTGTGTGCTTACCCTAGTTGTAAATCTTGTTTATTTACCCTAGTTGTGAATCTTTTATATATATCCTTGTTTTTGATCCGACACAATTACCCTATAGTAATCGTATTTACCTATCCTAGTTGTGAATCTTGTATACTTACCCTTGCTACGAATCCTGTGTACTTACCCTAGTTGTTTATCTTGTATACCTACCCTAGTTGCGGATCGTGTTTAGTTACCCTAGTTGTGAACCTCGTATACCTACTCTAGTTTCATCTTGTATACTTACCCTAGTTGTTGATCTTGTATAATTATTCTCGTTGCGGATCGTATATACTTAACCTAGTTGTGAATCTTGCTTCGTTGTGAACCTTGTATACCAACCCAAGTCTATTGATCGTGTATACTGACTCTGGTTGCAGATCGTGTTTACCCACCCTAGATGTGAATCTTGTTTACCTACCCTAGTTGTTGATTTTGTAAAATTACCTTAGTTACGGATCTTATATACCTAACCTAGTTGTGAATCTTGCTTACTTACCCTAGTTGCAGATCGTGTTTACCTACTCTAGTTGTTTTATCTTGTATACTTACCCTAGTTGTTGATTTTGTATACTTACCCTATTTGCTGATCTTGTATACTTACCCTAGTTGCGGATCGTGCTTACTTACTCTAGTTGTTTCATATTGTATACTTACCCTATTTGTTGATCTTGTATAATTACCTTAGTTGCGGATCGTATAGTTAGTTCTAACCAAGTTGTGAAATCTTGCTTACTTACCCTAGTTGTGCATGAAGGCTTCCTCTAGTTGTGAACCTTGAATACCAACCCAAGTCTATTGATCGTGTATACAGACCCTTGTTGCAGATCGTGTTTGCCCACCCTTTTTGTGAATCTTGTATATTTACCCTAATTGTTGATCTGGTATATTTAGCCTAGTTTGCTTATCGTGCCTACACACCCTAATTGTGGGTATACTCAACATCATGTAAAATTAACATCTGTTTTCTTACTCTAAGTATCAAAATTCTGAATTTGATCAAATTACTTATTGAAGGCCAACACAGCCTCCAATTGACCAACCCGGCTGTCTTTGTCTGTAACCTCGTTTGTGCTTGTGGACGGACGGAATTCTTGGTGATGACGACCCCTGTCTGGTGTGGACACTTTATGCACTTTTGCACATTTTCCCTCATATGTTAATATACATAATCAATTGTGGTAACTATCAAACTACTTTATTGTTAAATTATTATATATATTAGTACGCTAATTTACTTATTTATTTATCTATTCATTTATATTTTCTGTATTTTGGTACATTGTTTTTGGTGACGGATTAACATTGGCTTGTTTCCGAAACCCTATTTATAACCCTAAATTATATGTGTAATAGAAATAAAATACTGTTTAAACTAAACTAAAAGAAAGTTCAAATAGACTAAATGTCACAGGTTGCAGATAGAAAAAAATATTTACCTCTTATCCTTGGATCAATGCTATCATACCTTTAAAAATATAATAATGAACATTCACTATTTCACGACATAAGTGGGATCGAATGTTTCTTTTCGTAAGCAACCCCTTATCAGGTTGGTCGGTATGTAATAATAAAAGCTTATGAAGGCATTCTGAAGTGTTCTCCTCATCAATTCCAACTCTGATCTGTTAATCATTCAGGATTACATTGAATAGTGAGTGACATTTTCAAGACTTTCGTCTTCTATCTTGACTGTAGTAGCCACCTTTCATGTACCACGGAAGTTCGCCTGACCATTGTGAGGATGTGGGAAAAAGGGAGGTGAATATTTCTTCTATGATTTGATATTAGTTAGTTAGCTTGACTAGAGAGAGCAGGAAATAGTTAGGTCATCAAGACGATATTAAAGTACCGGTACTTACGTTTCTTCTTCTTTCCCTTTACCTGAAAAAGAATATAACCAAGTGTGGTGTCTGCTATAACCAAGATATAATTTGCAATAATGTATAGATATATTGAAATCTATTAAATCTATCTGTTATTCAGGTTCAGCAAGACTTAATTAAACAAAAATATTATGACATGTATACCTTGTCGCCATTTGTAAAGAATAACACCAACAACTACAGCTGCAAGGATAGCCAACACAATACCAATATCTAAACCTACTACATCAAACTCATTACTTGACATATCTAAAATACAAATAAAGTTGCAAACAATTCATAATAATGTATTGACATCTTGTAATTTAGGTATTTACCATGTCTACTTGATATCTTACTATCTTACTTACTTTGAGACAAAGTAATAAATAGTGTAGGGATTGAATTCTTCATAGTCTCATACATTTTACCTTGTCTCGATGCTGTTTTAGGAGGTTCACTCTGAGATAATATACCAATTAAACTTTCACCATATTTATTACTAGCTATCACTCTGATATAATAACTAGTATCTGGTTCTAATCCTTCTATACAATAGTCAACTCGACCATTATTAGTATCATCTAGTATTGTGGACGAATTGACCCATGTTTTATCATCAGTAGAATGTTGAACTATAAAACTTTGTGATGCTCCACCATTAAACCCTGGTGTCCATTCAATACATATTGTATCTGATGTTATATTTTTGTAGGTGATATTGATTGGGCGATCAGGAACAGCTGAGATAAACAAAGAAAGTATTAGTGTAGAGTAATATAATCTGAATTAAACTATTAAAAGGCGAGATTTTTCAATAAATTTCAATATAGAAGTCATTTCTATTTATGTGAAAAGAAATCATTTAGTCTTGTCTACCGGTTTCAATTCAACAACTTTAACATCGTAACATATTGTGATATACATACGTTATATCTACTTACTTTCTGAAATGATGTCATACTGTAGATCAGATCCACCTGGATTCACTTCATTAGAAACATTAAGATAATATCTTCTATAGAACTTATTAGTTGTGATATTTATAGTTAATTTAGATATAAAGGTATTGATGTTGGTAGATATATTAGTTTGTTGAAATGAACCATTATTAACAATAGGTATATCAACATTATTCTCTCTATAATACCATTGAAATATTGGTTTAGGATAAGATATAACTTGAGCTGTTATTTCTACACTCTCTCCAATATTACCAGTTATTTTATATTGATGATCTACACGAGGATCTGGTCTTGGTGACCTGTAGATAAATTAATAGTATTGTTTTCATCTCCAATTATACATTAAATTGTCTAAAGTTGCATCAGCATAATTAATCAATTAAATTGATACACACTTTACAGTAATAAATTCAACGTTTTGTTTGTTTGTATCAGAAAATGAATACTTACAATTAACAAGTATCTGTATGGTATCATTATAAGATGTTTGAGGTATATTAGGGTTGTTAACTTGACAACTGTAGACGTTAGTATCTAGACAAGTAGCAGCAAGTTTTATAAATGATGCCTGGTTACTGTTATCAGTCTGTATGACGTCAGTTCCGTTTCTATAGGTAATAGATGCTGTAGGATTACTCTGAGTTGTACAGGTAATGTTAATTTTATCACCTTCCTGTATATCTAATTTAGTTCTTGTGATTTTAACTCGATCTAAATCTATATAAATATGCAGATAGTGAGAAGTACCAAATAAACTCTAAACAAATTGGGTGGGAAAAATACTGATTATTCAAAACATAAACACTGGTATTCTACTTAAATAGATAGTAATTACAACTCTATAATCTGGTTTTTACTATATTCAACATTAGTTACAAAGTAATTGAACTGGTCGTGTTTATGTTATGAAACGTCTCCAGATGTGCACAAATACCTTGACTTAACACGTACCGGACTGTGAAATTGATTCTCTAAGTTCTACTTTTTAGATTGTCCCTGGGTACAAATACCTCGTACTAACACTAAACACATAATATATACTTACACCAGATATTAACAATTGTTGTTTTACTGTCAACGTTAGTTTTAGTTGTACCAATTGATGGTTTTAATACTTTACTAGAATTACAACTATAAATACCACCTTGATCTCTTCTAGTATTATCAATACTTAATACATTACTAGATATACTAGTACCATCTGGTTTATACCAGTTTATACTGGCATCATCTGGTTTAGACTGGATAACTGTACAATTAATAACCAGTTTATTTGATTCAATGATATCTATCCTACTAGTAGATACACGAACTTCAGGACCGTCTTAAACAAAAGACAAAATAAATTGTTAATTACCATTCCATTGCATTTTTCTATATAAAGATATATAGATGATATATATTTAATGTAAATAAGAAATCTTACATAAAACTATAACAACTGTATCATGAGTTCCTGTACCAGTTTGTTGTACACCAGTAGTTGGTGTAAATTCTGTTGAGATTGTAGCAAGTTATTAGGTCCAGACCAAGTATAATTTTTAGGTACAGGATTAGATGTAGCTATACAGGGTATAGTGAGGTTATTAGATTCTATAATACTATATTGTGGTGTCAGAGTAACTCTTGGTGGAAATAAAACATCTATAGTAATAGAATCTGATATTCCTGGTGTACCAATTCCATTAGAAACAGAACATGTATATATTCCTTTCTTTGATATTTGAACTGTAGAACCAACTTGTCCTGTAGGAGTAGTTATTGTATCTTTATACCATTTATAACTCAAACTACCATCAGGATTAGCATCAGTTACAATACACTTTAATTCTACTGTATTACCTTCTATTATTTTATAGTTACCAGATACTTCAGGTTCTATCTTTACACTTGGTTTATCTAACAACAGAAATATAAAATATACTTGATTTATCTAACAACAGAAATATAAAATATACTTGGTTTATCTAATATCAGAAATACTATAAACCATCTATAATTTATTACTGGATCAGGATTATTGGTAACTTTACAATTCATTTTGGTAGACACTCCATTTACTAGATTTAGACTGTTTTTATTCTCTATTTCTACACCTTTAACTGGTACTGGAAATAGAACAGGAACAAGTTTGATGGTACAATCTTATTTTGCGATAAGTGATCTAACGCTTAGTTTTATTGGAATTGCAGGAACAACTGATTTAAAATTAGATGCTATAAATGGCCCTGAGAAACATAAAAATTTTAGAGACCCTCATTACAATCTCTTAAACATAGATAGATGAAGACTATCTAATTAAAACTAGATGATGAAGTTAATGTAGATAATAAACATAGAATTACCTTTAACATCAATAGTTGTATTGTTAATAGGTGTTTCAGATTGAAGACCTTGTACTCCACATCCCCAGTAACCATCATCTCTTTGTTTAGATACTGTATCAATATGTATAGTTACACTAGTAGTTGTTTTAGATACTGTAGAGATATTTCTTGTTTTCAGACTCAGGATCTTTGATTGAACAATTTAGTGTTTGTAGATAAACAATACAGAGAGCTATAGTACTCTGACCAGATCGAGACATAGATATTGAATAGGCATTGTTATAAATACAGGTGACATTACCAGATTGTCCTTCAACCAGTTCATTAGATTCAGTATTTATTATAACTTGACCTAGAATATAAAGAGAATATTTTATAGTTACTGCCTATTACATTGTTATAATAGCAGGTAACACTACCAGATTCTGCATCAACCAGTCCATTAGGTTCAGTATTTATTATAACTTGAACTAGAATAGAAAGAGAATATTATATAGTTACTGCCTATTACATTGTTATAATAACAGGTAATACAGTGTTGTAACTATTTTCGTGGATATAAGGATTCAACACCGAATTTCGTCTAAGTTAAAAAAACGAAAAAAAAAATCTTTATGTCTCAGATGTTTCCTCAGATATTCTGCAAAATAATTAAAATTGGTTTATTTCGATTTTCTTTATGAATCCTTCACTTTGACCCATATTTCATGAGCAACCAACTCGGCAACGGAGGCAGAATGCGTCACCTATTTTCGTGTACAATGTTTGATCTATAAATAAGTCTAGAAAAACACGTTGTATGTATACCGGGTGGTATAATTAACTTCTCTTAGTATTTATCTTTAATATCAATTCATTATAACTAGTGACAATTCCTTCAAAGATCCACGATTTTAAAATAAATAGTGGCTGACAAAATAAGATACGTAGCGTGATTTATTGCTAAAAGTCACTGAAACAACATAAGAATATGGTCCACTTTGTGTTCCATAGAAATTTTCTGCTGACTCGGAATCCACTAGTTGATCACGTGACTTCATTCGTTGGAATACATTCTAGCAAACGACACTTGGAATTCTGATTACCGCTAGGGATTATAAGGAAATTCGGCCGATAAAAAATGGTGACGTTTGGTAATAACTGAAATCCGCCATTTTGTATTTGTCAAAGTATACATTAATACATTATACATTGCTTGAAACTACTGGATTCATTCTACTAGCTGATATTGTACAGAAAACCCATGTTTATTAAAACAAACTAATGCGGAGGTCGCGCAAGGTCGCTCATATAAATTATTAAACATTTCCGGAAATCCACGAATAATAGGTTTCCGCGAATTTAGGTTACTTGACTGTACTACCAGATTCTCCATCAACCAGTTCATTAGGTTCAGTATTTATTATAACTTGACCTAGGAAAGAAAGATAATATTATACAGTTACTGTCTATTACATTGTTATAATAACAGGTAACACTACCAGATTCTCCATCAACAAGTTCATTAGGTTCAGTATTTATTATAACTTGAGCTAGAATAGAAAGAGAATATTATTCAGTTACTGTCTATACATTGTTATAATAACAGGTAACAATACCCGATTCTCCATCAACCAGTTCACTAGGTTCAGTATTTTTTATAACTAACCCATTAAGTGTATTGTATATACTTACAGTCTCAGAAATATAAGTATTGTTGTATTGTTTTGTTTTATTTAGCCCAATAATTACCACAGAAAGAAGAAAATTAAATCGACCTATTTACAATCCATATTCAATCATTATATCAATAATAAAGGGGAAAGAACATATTGAATAAACTAACAGATAGATCATTTCAACATTGAACCTCTAAGCTTTATTAGAATTTATACATTTACACAATGAATAATTGAAGGTATGATAATATATTATACAACATATGATTATATGTACTATATGATTATAAATGAATATTATTAAGATATAAAACTAAACCTAATATTGTTTGAGTTAATATTCCTATCAGTAACACAACTATCGCCATTTTAGTTTAAGATTATAATATATTTGATATAAGATATACAATCTATATTACTTCCTCATTCATATACAGGGGTCGAAGTTTAAAAAAGAAAAGAAAAACAAGTATTCTTTGACGGTAATGACTATTCACATGTAAATAAATCAATTGTATAGTCAATGAATTACCATTAGTAATGAAAGAAGGCTATTCACTATATCATTATAGCTAGTTGGAGTGAAGTTTATAGCATTAACGTCGTTATAATATCATACAGTAACTGACAATATAGACAGCCGACCAATTCATGGAAAACAAATTTGATGGCAAAGTCTTGTTACAAGCCAGCAACCATGCCTATTGATTAGGGGTTACTGGTGAGAGTTAGGTTGGGGCTGCCAAGATCAGTCTTATATATATTCATATTAATTCATGCAAATTCATGCAATATTTTCAATGGATTTGATTTCATGTCTATTCTTACCTTTACATAAACTTATTAACAACTGGATTGAAGAATTCACCTCCATACTAACATTCGGGTGTACAGGGTTGATCTAATTCTGCACACATGCATGCTGCACTAAAACATTTTTTTTTTACTGTTACAGGTAATCAACTGCAGGCAGAAAGTAAGGGGGGGGGGGGGTTCATCGTAACTTTTTACAAACTTTTTTACTGAACAATTCTCATGTTCAGTTCAGCCACCAGAACGCTATCAACCAGAGATAACCTTTATGGATAACCCAAATTTGCATTGTGTCACATGTTCGTCTGATGATGACTTTTAAAGTAATGTAAATCAAACGATTCTGAGGTTGGTGTAAGCTTTTCAAAATCTTTGACTTTTTTAAAATAGAAATAGCTTGATTTATCCACATAAGCTGGAATATTGTCAACATAGAGCTTCCAAATAAACTTTTCTGTGTCATGGAACTCTCTATCTTCACCTGTACTAATTCCAGATGCTCCTTAATTATCTTCCATCATGACTTCAAATCTCTGTAAATGAGGATGTGTCATCACATCCAGTTGAAAGATAGCCAAGGATATCATCAGTTATGACTGATGGCAAGCCTTGAGTTATTTGACAGGCTAACACATTCTCTGTCTGGATGTCCCACTTACCATCCACAATTCCACACCTTGTACCCTTCCAATAAAATGCAACAGGAGCAGTACGACATCAAGTTTGCTTTCAACTATTACTGATATTTTCGGCTACACTTCACTAACTGGGTATGATTCCACATCCTTCTTTACTAGGATCGGAATTGATACATGGGGGGGTAGGTCAGGATAGGGAGCTCGATGACACAGAAAAATTTGTGTGTATGTTCTACGTTGACAATATTTCAGTTTAGGTGGATGAATCGATATAATTTATGAACAAATTCAAAACAATTTGCCATCAACCTACCTCAGAATCATTTAATTTACATTACTTTAAAAGCAACCATCAGGCCAAACTTTGAATCAATGCAAATGTGTGAAATTCGGAAAGATTGCCCCCTAATATCCAACAGGTGTCTAGACCGAGCATGATAACTATAACAGTTTGTAAATAGTTAAAATGAACCCATCCCCCAACAGAAGAGCCAAAGCTTGGAGCGTTTTGTGTGTATTATGACTTGTGTGTATTATGATTTAGGAACTAGAACTAAAAAGAGAAGAACTAATATTCTAATGTACTGCAACTTGCTTGTCACCAGCAATAGCAATTGTTGGATGCCTACCCAGTCTTGGGCAGAATCTATGCTATCGTAGTAGCCATTCCTGTCAGCTCTTCGACAGCTGAACGCTCCTTTTCTGCCCATGAAACACTTCCTCACTTATGATTGATATACTTCTTCATATATAAAGTACATTAACTGCTTCTAATGTTTCGCCAATATGTTGCTTGGATTTTGGGTTTCGTTTTGCGGTTCGAATCGTTAGTACCGTACTTGGTTTATTTACCCATCATGTACAAGACCGATAAGACTGCTGCTGATGACATATGAAAGGCAGATTTGCTGGTCATTTGAAAATAATGAACTAATTGACACATTCGGGCACGGGTCTCGAGAATAATCCCGTTATATCGACTTAGGCGCCGGCAAACGTGAAGAAAACGCTAGCAAAAGTCACATAGAATTAAAAACTAAACACCAGTCGCTATCAACCTGCGACATATGCGAACACATTTGGTTCCCTTAGGCGCGTTTCTAATACAATCTATTGGCTTGGTGTACGCTACTTCATTTTTATTGCATTTATGGAGATGTTATGACGCTTGTCTAAAGCCATTCTTGATTCCGTGGGCTACCTCATATTATGTCAGTACGTCAGTGAGTTCGTCACTCCGTCAATGAGTTCACCACTAAGTCAGTGAGTTTGTCAATCCGTCACTGGAGTCCATCAATACGTCGATGCTACCTTACAATTTTATAACTTTTGTTTTTAATAAGTTCTTAAACGAAAAAAGATATTTGACGGAGTATTTCAATCGAATCCTCAATAGAACATATCTAATTTCCATCAGTAAACGAATAAAAGATACAAGCTAATGACTTCGAATTTCGTGTTTTAAGGCATCATAATTCGTTTCTAATATCGTATGAACGTATATCAACATTCCTGCGGGAATTTGTTCATCATTGACATTAATTTGGTTATAATTTAGCCACTGTTGGTAATTATTGCACCTGGTTTTTGTTAAAGGTTTTGTAAACTTTTTATGATTATCAGGGACGCTGATTTGCACCATTCTTATTTTCAGATCTGTGTTTCTTGCTATCCACTAAAACGGGGCGTTTTATTGCTTCACCATCAGAAGGGTTCTTATATATTATTTGCAGATTTAGTTTAGTCATTACATTGACCATTCCTCGACACTTGAAAAAGGATAATATTTCGAAAACCGGTTCGTGTCAATTGCGTAAGTTTTTGTTTTATTTGTTATAATTTTTCACATCATTGTTAACTTTATTTATCACCTAAATATATATTTTTGCATTTTTCATCATAACTTTCATCTTACTTTACTTATCCCCAAACCCAGTTTGACTTATTTGCATAATTTGATCCCCACATTTTCACGCTAACATATACAGTTTCCTCCTGTTACATCCGCTGTACATTCCCTTTCTAACCTCAAGTTATTTTCATTATGCTCCCCAACTACAACAACCACTGGCAAGAAGCCAGACATAAAAACAGTAATCGTCAACCAAACCAATATCACGTACCCTACAACGGCCCTGTCTTCCATCGACCTCTACCACCTACCAATCGCCGACCACCAACCAACCCATCCAGCTATATCCCATCCCATCACCGACCTACCTACAACACAGCCTACCAATCCAGAGGTAACCATCGACCTGACCAACAACAGAAACGACTACCAGCCCACCGACGCCAACCAGTCCCCACTCATAAGGAGGAAGAACCCTTTGTGAAGGTATTCTTCCAAGTTTTGCAGTGCCTCCATCATTTGGCAATCCTTACCCTTCAACAGCAAGGCCAACCAGCGTTTACCTTCAAACGCAAAGTCTCTGAGTTGGATAGTTTTATCCGTCCAGCAATGAAAACATCAGCTGTGGACGCGAATATTAGATCCCTCAATCGGACATGGCTCTCTAAGTTTACGCAGGTCCTGATCGACCATTACCAAACCACACTTCAAGAGAAGCTGACCACCATTCGTACTAAGTCTTTATCATCACCTGCCGTCGACCGCATCGTTTCTCATGCCCTGTCCTGAGCCCGTCGCTCCTATGGGAAATGTCTCACTCAAGCTGTAATCTCCAAATTTTACCAAACAATCAACGAAACAAAAACCAGAGTAACCATATCTCTACCAACTGAAATGGACACTACACCTGCACCATCTAGAACCACCACGCTGTCGAACCAAACCCCTAAACGAGCCCGAAGTTCACCTACTCCTAGTCCAGCAGACATAGGTAAACGCTCTCGTAGAGAGGGCAATCCCCTTCTCTTTTCACTTTCAGACTCGTCTTCCCCTTCCACACCATCTGAATCTTCACCACGTGATCCAGGATCCGCCAACCTTTCTTCCTTCTGTGCGTTTTTGGACCAGCAAACCACCCCCCAGACTCCATCCAAACGTGTATCCAGACCTTCCCCTTGAACCAGATCCCAGTCCGTACCCAATGCTACAATTCTAACAACTACCAAACCAGTACCAATCACACCGTCCCCAACCATTATATCCGCTACCAAACCATATTATCACCAAACCAAGGACAAATCATTATGGAAGCTACCCGCTCTAAAGAAATCTACCTTAATTATTGGATCATCTAACCTGAATCGAAGCACCAAAACCAGACACTGAAATACATTCTTACCCCGGTGCCCAAATCCATCACCTACAGTCAATCCCGGAATCATACGACCATGATCCCAAACCTACTACCATTATTCTTCATGTAGGCCTCAACAACCGTGATCAGCTACCAAAGACCCCCTTTAACCAAGCCCAGAAATTAATCACTACAGCCAACAAAACCTTCCCAAACTCCAAGATCCTCTTCACATGTATACCCATTTCAAATAAAATCCCGAAGAAAGCACAACAGAACCTCAGCACCCTCAACAACATGATGATGGAGTCCAATATCAACAGCGCAACAATCTTACCACTCTACAAAGAAGAATTCGAACCAGTTGATAATCTTCATTGGTCTCCAGAAACAGCACACAGCATTTATTTCTTTTGGATACACCAGCTTCAAGCATCGAGTAAGTCTTTAAACTAATTACTGGGCCACCGCTAGGCCAAACTGTAGTTAACTTGAGCCGCAAAATTCTCACACCCCTTCAGCATTCAATCTTAGACCGTGGACTTAAGTTTATTCCCACACCAAAGATAGCTAACTTAAATTATCTTCGACCATCCATTGAACGATTTCAACGAAATCTTAGCTGCACATATTTTTTTCGAAACCACCCCCCACGTGGTGCTAGAACAATGTTTATTCCTAAATCCACGTGGACACACGGAAAGCCTAATCTCACACGAGTGGAACGTGAAGCATTAAACTTTCTTAAGAAAGACGATAGCATTGTTATTAAAAAGAGTGACAAAGGTTCATGTTGTGTTATTCTGAATAGGGAGGATTACGTTTCAGAAGCAGAGAATCAACTGAATAATCCTAAACATAATGCCATTTTACCGAAACCAATTTTCAAAGAAACTGCTATCACGATTAACAATATTCTTGCCGATTTAGTCAAAACTACTTATCTCAAACAGAAATAATATGACTATCTGTCTGCCAAACCTGATTGTCGCGAGAGACATTTGTACACTTTGCCTAATATCCATAAGAATCCAACCAAGGAGTGGTTTATCTCGAATAAAATCCCTAAGGGCCGCCCGATTATATATGACTGTGGTAGTGAGTCATATGCAGTGTCAGAATACATTGATCATTTCTTACTAACTCTAGCATGTCAACATCGCGCCTACCTTAAGACACAACCGATTTTGTCAATAAAATAAAAAATCTTCGAGTTTCCTCTAATGCTATTTTAATTTCTATCTACGTTTCTTCTATGTATACCAATATCGATAACACTACTGGTTTAACGGCAGTTCGTAAAGCTTTTAATAGAAACCCAGATCCAAACAGACCCGACGATGCAAATCTACAGCTTTTAGAGATTTGTCTTAGTCGAAACGATTTCACATTTAATGGTAAAACATATTTACAAACTTCAGGGACAGCAATGGGCAAACGATTCGCCCCTTCGTACGCAAACCTTTTCATGGCAGAGTAGGCGTGAGGTGTTGCCCCTCTGTCCATTTTGCCCACTTTTTTTACGGACGCTTTTTAGATGACATTTTTATGATTTGGACTTATTCTATCGAACAGTTTTGGGAATTCTTTGAAATTCTCAACAACCACCATCCTTCTATCAAACTAACCGCAAACGTGAGTGACAAAAGCATAGACTTTCTCGATACCACAGTCTTTAACGGAGATTCCATAGCAGAAACAAATAAACTGGATATTAAAGTGTATTTCAAAGAAACAGATACTCATCAACTCTTGCACAAGATCTTCTGATTTCAACCGAGCCTGTACGATTGTTTTTTCAAAACTGAAAGCGCGTGGGTACTCTAAACGATTTTTAATGCTCATAGGTCGGACATCAAATTAAAGAAAGACAAGCGTGTTTCTAATCATTTCAACCTCGACGATCATTCAATAGACGATCTCACCCTAATCCCAATTGAGCGTATAGAAATTGACTTGCCCGAATATGAAACTACCAAATTCCGTCAATCTAGGGAAGCCCATTGGATTGAGACATTGAATACCGCAAGACCTATAGGACTAAATATTCATCATAATGTAGGCATAGCACCCTTTGTTGTCCCGTTCAATACAACCAGCAATCGAGCAAGCAAGATAGTTCATGCCCACTATAAGAGCCTTCAAGAGAAATTCCCCCATGTCTATAAGCAGAAAATGATAGTTGCATATTCAAAAAATAAGAACTTAAATGATAATATTGTTCATAGTAAACTAAGAACAATCAGTACATAACAGATACTATACTTCTCGCCCATCGGGCGAGTTATTTTTTCTAATTTCAGATCAGAATAAGAACAGAAGAAAACCCAATATCAAGACCCTTAATCCTAATTTCTAAATAAAGTGTCTGCTCCACCCTAGGCCTGTACATTTGGGAGAATCAAACCCTCCCTTCCCCGAAACTTAATTGATTCAGTATCCTACCACCTTCAGGTTATTAATGCAATTATGAAATTGTTTCAATTAATATCGCATTTGAGGATGTCAAAGTCACAGTATAGGTTAGATGACGAGGTTCCGTGTTTAATCGCATAAAGTGTTAGTTAAACCACGAAGCTCTACCACGAAAACCGAGTCATCTAACCGGTTTAGACCATAATCAGTTATGATATAATGCGTATGTTTAAAAATTATTCTTTTAAACTTAGGGCCTATTAATTCAGATTTGTACATAGAACTATTTCTATGGTGCATGTAAAGGAAATGAATTATTGACGAAACAAGCTAATGTGATTTAATAGGAGAAAATGAACAGTGACCTTATTTAAGATATACAGAGGAAATAAGCATAACTAATCTGCGAGGACAGAAGGTATATCTGCTGACCATTGGTTGAACCGACAGAAAAAGTGTGGTATTCTGTAGCACCTGCTGGCCAGAAAACACTGGCGAAGACCATGAAAAGGTTATGTGAAGCAGTTGGATTTAAAAGTAATTATTAATTAATTGAAGGGATACTGCCTTAGAACAACCCCGTCAATTTTCGGCACGTTTGAAATAAAGTAAGAACGATTTCCACCTAACATCACATTTTCAAGGTATATCGGATGTTTGTAATTTTCAAAAACCCTGTGGTCGAAATAATTCGAGAGTTCTTGACCCCAGGGTCATCTTACACAATTACGATTATTATAGGTACGTTACTTACTGTCTGACTATATTGAGCTTGCTTTGAATTGAATTTTTTCTCATTTCATAAATATTCAAAATAAAATGTTTAACTTTGTGCTATTGACCTTAGATTGTCTTCGGGTCCATAGAAATATAAGGTTGTGTGATTTTACCTTCTGTCATTGGTCAGCTTAGTGAGTTGTCAGTGAGTTTCATCACCTATCCGGTCAGAAACTTATTTTTATCTTAGTCTTTGAAGTAGCTTAATTTCAACCTTTCTGGACTTGGTGATCTTACTACTTCATCCTGTTTTAACATCAGTTATTTTCTTCAAATAACTTCATAGGTATGTGTGTTTGGGGTTTTTATAGGGTAATTGTCTTTTTGGGTAACTATATTTTGTATGAGAGATGTAAAAATGTAACTATGGTATTTTAATGTTTAGAAACGGCAGCCATCTTGAATTTCTATGCCTTGGTACCTTTTTATACGACCACATGAAATGGGGGGCGCATATTGCCGTCACCCATGTCCGTCCGTCCGCCCACAATTCCTCGCAAACACTCTACAAGACACAATTCTTGACTGATTTTGACAAAACTTGGTATGAGTGTTCGTAATCACCCAAGGATGAACCCTATTGAAAATCAGAAGAATCGAAAAATATTTAGTATAAGTTATTGCCCTTGTTCTTGAAAACGCGTTCAATTTTTAGCTTGTAAACACTCAAGAAGGGACAATTCTTTATGGATTTTAACGAAACTTGGCACGAGTGTTCATAATCACCCAAGGATGAACCCTATTGAAAATCAGAAGAATTGAAAAATATTTAGTTTAAGTTATTGCCCTTGTTCTTGAAAACGCTTTTAAATTTAGCTCTTAAACACTACAAGGCATGATTCTTGGATTTTGACAAAACTTTTATTATTCAGTCCCGCGCTGAAGATTGAATATTTGCCTTCTAGAGCTAAAAATTAAATGCGTTTTCAAGAACACGGGCAATAACTCATACTAACTATTATTCAGTATCGCCTTAAAGAGTTGAAAAGAAGTGTATGACTGAAGGTTGAATATTTCATAGTGGTGATTGTTACTGTATTGCTAAATATTTTTATTCAAAATCAAAGCTGCCAGTGGGCGTATATTACCTTGCCTGGAAAGCTATCTTATATCTAATGTAACGCGTAGTCTATTGTAATTATTACATATTATATTATAATTACCTTTAACTACATTTATTCATTCACGGGTTTAAACATTAAACATTAGTTTAGACAGTTTCTAACAGCTTTGGTTAAAAAACCCACCTTTTGGTTAGTTTGACTTTATTTAACATTATTCTTTGTATCCTATCGCTTTTCACATCGCATATTATAGCATATTGTATTTCAAATGTATTGAAATAGTGTTGTCAGGTGGGGGTTAAGGGTAGTAATAACCACACCGAGGGTTCTATGAACTAGATGTTTATTACTAACATACAACAAAAACTCTGAAAGTACAAAGATTATGATTACTAACAGGCAAATAAATATATACATTAAAATGGAATGATCTTAATTCCTAAATTTAATTCCTAACACCAACTATGCAATAATTCAATACAGCCTTATACTAATAAATATGAAATATATGAAATGTAAAGGAACCATTTTGCATAGTTACAATCTTGAAGGAGAATCTTAATAAGTATTTAATAAATGTAAGACAATATGATTATATACTAATAACTTAACCTACCCTGTAAAGGGGTTTTAACTAACAAACCAATGGGAGGGAAAGTACCTAACCAGAGGTGTAGTATCTGAACATAAGATGTTTAATAGAGTTGGGAGTGCATTGTATGTAATTTAGTATGAATAGTTAATTGTAATAATGATAGGGAAAGACATGAAAGATACTATAAGATATAAAACTTGCAAAATACACATGGGCTGCCACCCTAGTAACCAGGATAAACAAATGTACCAAAATATAACTAAAATGTAACATACCTTGAACAAGATCAATACAAATCCCAAGAATATATTGAAATAATATAAAACCAGGAAAAACACTAAACTATACTATTCATTCCAACATTGAAGAAGATTCAATGTAAATTACATTATATTTTCCTACACCAATGCTATCAGTCTGACAAAACTAATACTGAATGAGCTAGGAAAGATAATCTGAGGTGAAGAGAACTCAGAGACAGAGAAAAATAGAGTAAAGAAATAGAGGCAGTGAAATGTGACTTAAAAGTGACTATTAGTTAACACTGTGCTAATTAAACTATACTTATAGAATTAAACCATTTTATTTGTACACTTCAACAATAGTATTGCAGTGTATAAAGTTATGTGCATAGATATAGTTTTTCTGTTATAATATATATACTGTGATATTTTATTATTAAGATATATTGTGTTGTGTATTTGTATTATATCTAATTGTATATTATTATCATCATTACAGGGTTTTTATATAAGTTATGAACTGATATTCTGATAGTTGTGATACCGTTTTCCTCCCGGAACTAACCGGCTACATTCTTCACTAATCATTCTTTGAGAGCAACATGTGCGACTTTTATATCTGGTGTTGATGAACAGCTCTGCGAATACCACGGACCATAGAAGTAATGCTATACGGGCGTACAAGCGATCGAACACCACACAAGAGTCCTTCAATTGTTAGAAGTGTGATCAAAGGTCAGAGGTAATCATCGACTACTACTGAAGTTGTATTGTATTTCTTTCAGTCAAAATTAAAGCAAGTCATTAATACTGCGATTCGGTCATTTTTATTCCATTAGAAATTGCTGCTTTAGTTGAATTTGCTGGGACAGGAGGTGGGTGGGCGCGAAGAAAGTAGTCCCAGTCGTTGTACAACTAACATTTCAGCTGGTTATATACCACGCCGAAGATAAAAAAAAAATTATGGTCTAATTTAAGTATGTGTATATGCGCGTTATGTGTACGATTAACTGAAATATACAAACACAAATTTCTGTCAAAGTTCAACTACAAATCAATTAATAGATGACAAATGACAAAAAAATGATATACTGCTAATAATATGTAATGTTTTTACTACAGATGTCACAATAAAAGAATGAAGATAAAGACTTTATGGGAGATAACTCTTTGTGCTCAACATGGGGAAATCAATTGTGGCCCGTTTAATGTCAGAAATGACGGCCCACACCCTCAAATTTTACCTGCACACATTACAATAACAACTGACGAAGAAAAGCATGTTATAAGACAAATCTCTCCTGAACAATTTACATTGTGCTGCAAAAAGCATGCCATGAAAATTTTAGCTTTTCACGTGATTAAGTCAACGTAATAAATAAGACTCGATAATGACCAAAAAACGAAACAATACTGATGCTAAGCCTCACTGATAAGATAACGTTAAAAATATGGAATCACAAATGCACTATCGACGAAAAGAAGAAAATAATTATAGTATGGCCATAACAATATGTAAATATAACTCTACTAGCTTTGCTAATGAAAGCATTCGTATAATACTGTTGTTGATAGCGGATAGTCTTTCAACACTTACCAAAAACATAGCATTGTTAAAATGTGTACGCATAGAACTATAGTTTACGAGTTTACGTAAACCTTTTAACTAATTCTCATATTAACTTAAAACAATCAGACTGCCCCGTTAATTCAACCAATTTTGCAATTAAAGGAGATTAAGATAGATTTATTTATATCAGTTCATCTATCAAAACTATTATACAATAACATAATACATATACATAAACAACATAATAATTAACATGATATTAAAAAATGAGAAAAAAATAAAATAAACTGTTTAATATGAACACCTTTGTAATGTATGATTATTGTGTATTGAGCACTATTTTAAAAGTGAAAATATTTACTTTATTATTGTCTTGCAAATAATTGTAGAGCGATATAGAAATATTAAAGCAAAACCTAAAAAATCATGTAGTTACTCAGAGTATCACACTATGCGATAGCGTGAAACTTTGAGTAACTACATACTATATGTTTGTTTTCATGTTTCTATTGCTAAAAGTATACAGGTATTACTTTCTATAATTACATACTCAAAAGTAAAAACAAATTGGTTAGTATTACATAAAATACGATAGCCATCGTCTCTTCAACAAGCCCTAAACTATTACATATTTTATCGCGTTACACTTTAGAAGGTGAACCAAAGATCGAGTCAAAGATCAATGCTTCATCACGAGTAAAAAGTATGTAGTCTGAAGAAGAAATAGGAATGATAATACTAAATATATATTTTAGCCATGTGTATCCTAGTCTTGTCACATCGCAACAAAAGTGGTGAAATAACAAAAATTAAAAAGTTTATTATGGACTCAAAAGTTGCTGCCTGATATTGGTAATGATCTTGTACAGAAGAGTCATTGGCCTTTTGTTGTAAATATTTGCTGCTTTTATATTTAATTTCTGTTAAAGACAGCAGAAAAATAAATATTTTGTTATACCATTTAAATGGACAAGTTCGTCATCCGTTTGACTAATTATACTTTAGTCAGTGTCAAAATTCTAGCCGTCAAATCCATGAGTCGAGAATTATCCGCGTTTGAAAGTTAAAATGACGACTTGTCAATTCTTGAGACTTGGTATATAGAAAAGACATAATATAGATATAGAAAGTGAAATTCCTTTTGCAATTTTATTACATTTGAAGTACTTCTGAAGACTATTTACATAATATTCAAGACTCAAATCAACCCCCAAAAATGGAAAACCAGCTTGTTGGACAATCAGCACCTTTAAGTTATTTATGAACTACATATAGCATACAGTAACTACGTGTTCAAAATTAAAAACAAATTGGTAAGTACATGTATAACATGATATAAAAATTATAATAGAGCCCTTGTATTTTGAACAGAACAGAAACTATGACATATTTCTACCATGTTTCACTTTAGTGGCTGTATTATGGACTGTCATGAGTCAAAACATACGAACTACGTATGGTTCTTACAAATCTTCAAATCACACTTAAAGCCATTTCTAAACATTTAAATGTGATTTGAAGGCTTTAATTGAAATATTATAGCCTCTATCAATATTCGACTTATTAAGTCGAGGACGAGATTCAAAATGGTTGTGTTCGTGTGTGTTATTTCTACGTAAGAACGATACGTAGTTTTGTATGGAGTCAAACATCAATGCCCTATGTCACTACGCAATTCAGTTCTTAAAGTAACTTTTAAGATGGTAGTAAGGGGGTATCTTCCTGAAGAAGAAATATGTATACTATACAAAATATACATTTTAGTCATGTGGACACTAGAATTAAGATTGCCATCGTATGTGACTTGCTCTGCCTCTGCATAGAAACGGAAGTGGTCTTCAAATTCAATCAAGAGGTTTTTGAAATCACAGATTGTAGCAAAACCCTGCGATGATCTTGTCCATAAGTAGATCCATCGGCCTATTGGAGTAAAATATTTGCTGTTTCTATTTTTAATGGCTGTTAAAGACAGCAGAAAAATAAATTTAGAATGTTTAGTCGCCATGTAAGTGATCACATCTAAAAATCTGCTCCTTTAAGCTCTTTACGAAATATGTTTAGCTACAGATTTGCGTATGGTCTTGTATCGTCAAGATCTGTTGTAGTTTGTCCTGCTCTGAGGTTGTAATATTGTGCTGCATCACTAGCTTGTGGTGTTACTGTATTATGTACTGTATTTAACTCCTGGTAGGTTTGACCATCAGCTATAAAATTACGAATATAAATTTTAATATTTCTATCAGTCAAACTTCAACCAACTATTTAGGTTCTTTAACTTTAAATTAATCTGGCATGTCCTTGAGAAAGATACACCATCAAAATTGAAAATATTCAGTCAATAATATTATTGTAGTCTGAACAATAGACACGATATATTGTCTAACAATTTACAGCTAAGCCCTTACATGTTAGGTAAAATGCTGGAAATCAATGAAAAAGATTCATACAGGATAACGTAATCCTGCCAACTGGACATTTCGTTTAAATTGAATGCATCCCATATCTCATTGGAAGAAGATTTTACTAATTAATGATAATAATAATAATAATAATAATAACTTTATTTGGCAACCCATTTAGACAGAAGTCTAATTTTCAATAGCTCATAACATATAATGATTCATCCCATGAACATTAAAACATTGACTAATCAATAATTTACCTGTGCTTCTGGGAGTAACGATATCATACCTGCAGAGAAAAGAAACATTTTTTTTATCATTTGGCTTCCAGTATTCTAATATTTTTTAATATGGTAACCGTATAATCGTATTACCTGCATAATTTTTCTATTGTTTAGAATTTCGCTAAACACCTTGTTCATACGTTGTAAACTAAATAAAACACATGACTATCAAAATATCAATGATACAATTGGGATTGGGAGAAATTGTATAACCCACATGCTTTTTTTTTAGGATATCTGATTGACCGACCGCAACTGAAGATCACCATTATTTCATTAAGAGGAAAGCAAGAAATTATGGTTAACTTACGTTTGGTCCGGTTCCTTTCGTTTACCTAGAAATGATTCGAAATTTCAATTCAATATCAATAAAAGATTTTTAGGAATAAAGTTACCAAAAAAATACAAGACAACTTAGAAATCTCAAGAACAGGAGAGATAATACAGTACCTTAAATCGAGTCCTGTCTATTTTTACCAAATCTGAAATTCTTTTACCATTCAACACTATATACTCACCTTGTCGATATTTGTATTGGAATACACCTATTACAACAACAGCATGAATAGCCACAGCAATACCAAGACCTGTACCTATACCTGCACCAAATCTATCATCACAAACATCACAACCATTTCCACCATCTGTAAGTTAAATATATTTGAAAAATTATCTAATTTATCAATTGCATTAAAATAAATATTATTAAATAAAGGCCATATATCAGCTAATTTATTTTTCTGAAAATCGGCACACTTTAATACAGGTATATCATTTAGAACGTTTTACCTCAAAATCTTATTGTCGAATCACCAGAGGCCGACTGGCATTCGCTCATCAGGATGGAATGAGAACAGCTATTGCATTAATAAGAGTTATATAAGACACTAAGCACTTGTTACATGACTAGCAAGGATGACTGCAAACTTTATAATACTAATACTGACCATGCATGCAATCAATAGTCTATATCAATATTCTATTTATAGCTATAGTCTTTATCAAACTAGTGTTCATATTCTCAACATCTCCATTTTAAAACTATGTATCACTAGTTTGATCTGAAATGCATACACTAATAACAATCTTTTCAATTAACACAATTATTCTGTTATTTAGTTAATAACTTTTAATACACAACATAAATTTCGATGTACTGCTATTTAATCACGATATCGCTCAGGTTTAACTATTGTGCGACCTGAGCGACGCAAGACAGGTTGTTCTACACGAACTGGAAGTTGCGGAATATCAGGAGGTGGATCTGGTGGATTCACATCCTGATGATTGTTAACACGAATATCTATATCAATGGGATCAAAATCTTCATCAAACGCATTAGCAGCAAATCGAACTTTATTAGTAAGAAATAAATGTCTACGATTTCTTCGAAATAATCCGTATTTTGTCCTAATCATATATGAACGCGGTTGAGCACATTTGCGTATTACGACTCCTGGAGTTCCACGTTTTTCCCAATCTAACTTCACTATAATATTGTCACCTGGGTTAAGTTCTTTCAAATCACGTGAGGAATTATGGTAATCAAAATTTCGCTTTTTCCTATCTTTATGATCTCTATCCCTTCCCCTCACATTTTTAAGATTCGGCCATCTTGGTTTTATATTTCTGGATAAAGTTGGTAAAGTTGTACGGAGTTGTCTTCCCATTAATAACTGAGCAGGACTTGCACCTGTAGTTTGCAAGGACGTTGATCTGTAAACCAATAAAGCTAATATTGGATCATCTTGGCTTAAAATCTTCTTTGCAGTCTGGACCCTCTTTCTGCTTCACCATTAGCTGAGGCGAAGTAAGGACTGGTTGTGACATGGTTTATACCATAATCATTACAAAATCTATTAAACTCAGCAGAACTGAACTGTGGCCCGTTGTCAGTGGTCAGCAATTCTGGTATTTCAAATCTAGCAAAACATCTTTAAACTTATGAATTGTATTTGCACTTGTTGTTGAACTCATATAAATTATTTCAATATATCTTGAGAAATAGTCAATTATCACCATATATTGTTTACTTTTAAAAGTTAGTAAATCTGCACCCAAATGTTGCCAAGGACGTTC